GCTTGTGTTCCTATGAAATGGTAAAATGGTAATGAGTAGCTAAGCATAATTAGTCACTACGGTGTGAAGGTATGAGTCAGCATCTTCTGTAGTCCCATGGATTCTTTTAACTCAACTGTTTCTCTCCTTTTTCGTCGGCTTTTCTAGGGCCTTGTCTCGGTCGGCTCACTGAAGCGCTGGACAAGGACTGTGTCGAGATTTCTTGAAGAGTACTTTATCCTTTGTCATGAAATGAAATCATGAATCCTTTTGACTTATTACTTATGGGATTATCAGGGTACAGTATCGTTGGGAGAACCTAAAAAAGGTGGTCGTACTTGGTCTCTGAGGTGGAGAAGGCCGCATTTGCCGTTGAGTAAAACTTACCGACCTGACTATTGAGTTTTCTCAATTCTGCCCCTTTCATGTTCGCTTCCTTCCCCTATTTGCCAGCGTCGCAGAACTAGTTGCAAGTGCTATTTCGATGGTTGAACTGATTGTTTAATTGTTATTGGTAGCTGATTGGTGACGAGCCGCATACCTGCTAGACGGCCCTTTTTTGTGGAACACGGGAAAACTTTGGAAAAGTTGCAGGAAGACGGGAATACTCGGGAAGATGGTAGGTAGAATGCGGATGGGGGTCGTACCAGACAAGGAAATTTTTGGGAATGGGGAGAGCGGCTCGGGTCTCGGGCTGATGCTGTCATTTCACACATCAAGGTGCTGTGCCATGTGGACTATGTTGGCATGCTTAACACTTATAGTGAACCATTTCTTTCGAAACTTCCCAAAAGTCTCACATCAGGCATGCCTCAAGGGGTTTGGAAAGGTCGATACGCACGAATCTGATTGAGATGTACTATTTAGCTACGTATTTACGGGCCCATGCTGACTAATGATACCGCTAATCAATTGCTTTGATAATTTGTAGACTTCCTTACATCCGGCTCCCCTGCAGCTTTTCTTCCGCTCCATGAAACTTAGAGACGACACTTTTGTGCTGTTTGAGCAGCGTTTACGATTCCCCCCCCCCTAGCAGCGGTCTAGTACGACCCTCCGATGGGTTTCGAGCGATGCTGTACCCTGTCTATATATTAGGTTGTCCGGAAAGTTCTCAGCGTTTTGTGCACCTATTTTTTGTACATTCACTGCTGATTAAAAACTCATTCTGCCTTGCTTCTCAGTAGCACATCCTGTAGAGAATTTCTTGCGCTATCTGATGGTATAATTGCCGCTTCACCATTGCTTAATAAGCCCTCTTTCTTCGAGATTTTTCAAGCATGTGAAAAG